CACAGCCACGCTCATTGGGTTACTATTATGTGTGGTTGCTTTCTCACGACAGGAGCAGAGTTGAGTGGTTGCATACCAAGTATGCAACTGATCTAAAAGCAAACAATTTTGTAGAAGTAGACTACCTAACCCCCAAAATAAAAATGAATTACCTAGGACTAAATGAACTGATTTCATTATGATTAATATTTATATTAATTGACATAAGGAAATAGCCTTTCTTTTTAATCTGTTTCTTACCCTCATCTTAGGAGGTTATACCTATGCAAACTTGGATGAAGCACTCTTTTTTAGAGATTTTAATAATGTATTTTATTTAGCCCAATATATCCACAATATTAACATTTCAACAGATAATCAATCTAAAAAATATTAATGAGATATTTTATGTTTTTTCATTCTGTGTCTTCAAATCCAGGGTCTCTTTTTCTACTTACAAACCTTTGAATCACTCTTTAAATGTCATTTTGTCCCAATTGAACTTTCAAATTTCAAAAGAAAAAAAATTCTGTGAGAGATCTTAGCATAGATTATAAACTAATAGATCATAATAACACGTGCTGATTGGCCTTGTCTACAAAACATTGATAACAAAGGTCAGCTAATATGGAAAGTGGCATTCCTAAGTTCCTTTACTTTTTATGACCAAATTTCCTATTTTATAAATTTGAGGGGAAAATGTAATCAAACAAATTGATTTACCTTATCTACCTCTAGAGGAATTAATACTTATGATCATGTGGATTGTTTATATAGGTTCAATAAGAATCTGTCCTTTTTCTTACCAGATATAATTGACTATTGACTAAAATTCACTTCATTAGGTGTGATAAGCCCATTATTAAGGAACAAAGACGACATTTTACATGTGAGAATGACATCCATGACGTCCTCCCAGGAAAGCTTCTCTGGGACGGCATTATGACTATGAAATTCCAGCTTACGGGTAGTAGAACATTTCATTTTCTGGCAGGCCAGAAATGTTAACAAATACGGGAATCTTAGAGAAAATGTGCAAATAAGGATGTAAAAATTCTTCTCGAATGTAAAAGTAACTCCCAACTCTAGGAGCTTTACAAAGCTCCAGACGGAAGTCCACTGGAAGGCCTCAAGGTCACGTGCCTCCAGCTTTGTTAGCCATTCAAAAAGGAAGTGTTTGTGTATTAATCACGCCTCTTGTTGTGCCTATGAAAATAAACTTCAGTCAAATAAAACAAAATATGCATTTAATGACACTGAGTCAGAAAATTGTTAATCAACTTAACTTTTCTCAATAGCAAGAACTTGCCCGCCAGGAAACAAAAACTATAGAAGGAGAAAGGGACACTGCTCCATTCATGACTAAGTACTGTGGGAGATCAAGATTTAGCCACCCTGAAATATATCTCTTTACCTTGATTGTTTTCTCTGATGGACATTTGACCTCCCCCACTAACTGCCTAAAGAATTTGACATAGTAACTCCTTCCTGGAACAGATCTTCTATCTGATGGCTGTAATATAACATAAAATAGATGTTACAATAGGAAAGGCACCAACAAGCCCCTCTTATTGGAAGTTCTGTCTCTCTGGCCACATTCTCTGGATGGCCCTGCAAGGAGTTGCCAGACAAACATTTACATTTATAAGGGAAATCTCCATTTGTAAAGGTAGCTCCCTCTCTGTATTGGGAAGAGAGGGGATGACCTCATTTCTAGAACCTATCAATGTGGAAAGTGAAGCCTTAAATCTGCATAATAACCTTACTCTTGTTTACTGTGCTTTAGTGGTAATCTCCTGTGACTCCCCCCACCCCCAACATCCTCCTTTGTCTTTAGCTGAACATGGTATTTAAGACGAGAATTTCTGCTATTGTGTTGAGAAACACAGTGTCCCTGGTTTCTCCCATGTATACATGTTATTAAACTTTGTATTATTTTCTCTGCTAACCTGTCTTGTTAATTATTTGGCCAGCCAAAAGAACCTTAAGGGAAAGAGCAGAGGGGGATTCTCCCTCTTCCCCCACAGTACCACGGAGGGTGGTGGGGGAGAGGACATTTTGCATCTGGAGATAAACCAAAAAGAACAGGTTATCCTGACTGGTTCAGGGCTCCGAAGCAATAAGCCTTGACTATTTCTCACAAACACGGACTCTCTGACAAAACCAATTTTATCCCTGATTTTCACTATGCTAATGAGTGAAGATAACTTGAGTATGATGAACATGTGTGAAAGCTGCCGATTTTCACCGTGAGCGTGGTAGCCTTGTCATCTTTTTTCCCTTTGAATGCTAATTTTATTTGGCAAGCCGATCTTTCTTTCTGAAGTCTGACTCCCTTTCACTTGTTGCTGTTTTCTTGTCTAAATGTTTCTGTCTCTGACTCTCTGGCAGCATCTACTGTGTCCCAACACCAACACCAGGCTGGGGCTGAGGATTTGGAAGTGAATTTGAACCTTTGCCTGGCAGAAGGTCACTATCTGGAGGAAGAGACTTGCCTGCAAAAATAGAACTTCTCCCTCAAACATTTGGCGGGAAGTTAACACCACCTTCGTTTGCCCTGATGCCCCACACAGAAAGAAGGGAGCCTCAAATCAGTTATGTGGAGGGGCCACCCCAGCAGTCCAGGAACTTGTGCCCTGAGAGGTGGTCCTGTCTACCAGCAGGCTCCTGTAAAATGGCTAGACAGCAACTCAGAAGCTGTTTTCTCATCATAGGAAGTGATGCAAACATGAAGTTCATGCTGCCTGCTGTGCCGTGAATAAGTCCTTTGTCTCTGACCTATGATGTCGTGTCTTCTGCCAGAATCCATGAAACTGTGGCTGTCTAGCTCATTAGCTTGCAAGTAGCACAAAATCCCAGGCCCTTCCTAGTTACTGACAGGCAAGTAGATGGTGTATACAAAGGCCCAAGGGAGAGAGTAGAGCAAATATAAGGATGTGAAAGAAGGCACGCATGGGTGGAATGCAGGAAGTGAAGGGGGCATGGCACGAGATGAGGCTGGGAGGCAGTGAGCTAGAGAACTTTCGGCCAATCTTGCTGAGGAAGGCCCAGGGGGTGTCTCCGCCATTGGTTGTGACAATGCCACTGTAGGGGAAGAGGGAGAATCTCCCTCTGCCCTTTCCCTTAAGGTTCTTCTGGCTGGCCAAATAATTAACAAGACAGGTTAGCAGGAGAAAATAATACCAAGTTTAATAACATGTATACATGGGAGAAACTCAGAAATGAGCAACTCGT